AGAAGAACCGAGTTCACTCCAACAGTCCCGGTTCCTTCGGTCACCAGAAGAACCGAGTTCACTCCAACAGTCCCGGTTCATGGTTTACTTTCCTCATTTTTGTCGTACTGATGACCTCATCAACACAAACCCAGCCTGATGAGGTCACCAGACACGCAGCGTTGGTGGGACAGAGGCTTTTTTAGCCAGTGGGAAGGAAGCCATGCTGATTTTCAGCGGGTCGATCCATGATTGAATAACACGCGTTAACCCATTATTATTAGTGGGAAAGACAGCAGGGCAGTGTCATCTGAGACAATGATTACATTAAAGCCCTCCTGTGTAGACCTGCTTGCTGTATACATCAGAAGAGTTAAATGCAACAATAAAAACTGATCAGGTGAGTTAAAGCCTGAGTCCAGTCTCTCATTTAAAAGGTTTGGCTTCCTTTTTTTAAATAAAGAGAAAAAAAAAAACAGCAAATAAAGTTCATGCATTAGAGTTTTCTAGATGTCCAAGAGAAATATTTTTGCATCAACCACGTCCTTTCCAGCCTGATAAACAGACTGGGGACATTAGGCTGGATTTATCTTTTAAAATATTCCCTAATATATAAAAGTTACATGTTTGTTCATTTAGCACTGGTGATAAATGCACATCATGTTCAACATGGGCATCATGTTCAAACTGAACAGTGCGACAGAAATCTGGAAAGTAAAACACGGAGAGCAACATGGAAGGAAGCCATGGAGTAGTCGGTGTGCTTTATTGTTTCGCTCTTTTGTCCTTTGAATTCCTCTTAGCAGTGCTGCTCCATGTTTATGGAATGCTAGCAGAGATACTTTTAAATGAAGAACTGCTCCCTCTCCCAAGCACATCTCAAGTCTCCACCGAGTGCGGAGCCCATTCCCCCCGTCCTGCTCTCCCTCCGCTGGCTGGCGCCTGGGCTTGACGGTACACGGAATTTGGGGGTGGATGCCCGGGTGGCTACTGGCTCATTCCTGGCGGCTTCTCCACAGGGCCCGGCCGGCCGGGGCTCCTGCCGGGTGGTGGGGCACCCCTGGGGCTTTGGATCCCTGGGGCCCGCAGCCGGATTCACTTCGGGGTGGCCGGCTGAGCCCGCCGACTCTTCCCCGCGGCTCAAGAGTTGTGCTGGCTGGGGGACTTCCTCGGGGCCGTCTCTCCTCCTCCCTTGGTGGGGGTCTGATTTCCTATGCTGGCCCCTTCTTGCTGCCTTCGCTTTTGGGGTGCCTCTTCAGTTCTTCACAACCACTATTGAGCATTTTTTCTTTGGATAAACTTTCACAAACAACTACAGGTGCTTGGTTCCAGGTAATACAGAAAGCCAACACTCTTATCTTCAGGTAACACAGAGTCCGATTAAATAATAGTACTTCAACGACAGTATCTAGGTGTTACTTTATTGTATGTCTCGTACCATGTCCGTACCATGTCTGTTTTTACATCTCTTCGCAGGTGATCAAGCAGACTGAAAATGTTTTATCATTATCTCCCTTTTATCTCCTCTTTCTTTAATCTTTTCTCCCTTTTTTTCCTGTTTTTCCTCTTCTGTTCTACTTACATTGCAGTGTCCATATAATCTGTAAAACTCCCTGCATAATTATAATAAAGCAATTTATATGCATGAAACAAGTGGAACACTTTGGTGATAGCCGTACTGCTCCACTTGTGAAAGTAATATCTGTTGGGCTCTTTTTGACATCAAGACAGTTATTCTTATTGTCACACTGCCAAACAAGGACACTGTTTAAAAAAAAAAAGATATTAAAAAAGAGATATTTTGAAGTGTTAGATCTGTTTGTTGACGTCCATTCGTTGCACTCCATGCATGTGATTTTAAATTGCCGAGTCGTTTGAACCGGGTCGTCAAGGGTCAGTACATGGTTCCCACTGCCGATAAAAGCATTTTGTGTCTGGCTTTAAAAGGGTTTTTTGACCAGTTTGAAAGGGGGATAAGAGAAACAGGTCTACACTGAAAAACAGGTCAAGCTGTTTCATTTCGGCTGCTCCCATATTCAGCGGCGGCTACAGCGAGTCATACTCACATACTTGGCAAAGCTTTTAAATCAGACGCCGCTCTGACAGGACAGGGATTCAATCTCAGGTCCCCTGCCTCACAGTCAAAGGGTTTAAACCACTTCCTCAGGGGAACATCTGATCAGGCTAACAGTCATTTCCATTTCCTACTTTCTACCCAAACTTAAATTATGACCCAGTTAAGGATTTTTTTCCCTTCTTTTTAATAAAGAACTGGTCTGAAAATGTTTTCATCATTCAAAATGTTCCTCCATACTAAAAAGGTTGGTGTGGAAACATGAAACTGGAACCACTCCTTATTTCTGGGGCTGTGGTTCTGATGGCTCCCAGCTGCCCCCCAGTCTCAGTGAAACTGGGTGAATAGAGCACTGGCGTTAAAGCTCTTTGACTGACGGAGCAGCAATAAAACCATCATATAAAACCAGTTCTCCTATAATATTTCATCTGGACAACTAATGAATTTTCCACGTTTCAAGAAAAAGCTTCGCCTGCTTTCAGCTGATTGAGGCAAAGTTGTGTGAATCCTGGTTAGATCGGGGAGCAGGATGTGGAATCTGTCAGTTTTACAAATCCACTTCTGTGAAGTCACCAAAGGGCGGCATGCCTGCAGACGTCATGTGGATAGGTGCTCTCATACGTTCACTCAAAGCCACCACAGAGTGTGCATAGATCACCCACAGGCAGTTTGGACACATGTTAGGAAGTGAGAAAAACATCTGTAACATCCTTTGACCTGTGCGCTGACATCTAAGATGGGCTGTGTATTAGCAGGTATCTTGGCTCATTTTGGAAAGCATCAATGGCAGTTTTAATCTAATAGTTCAGATCTCTACCTGTAGATCTAGTGTATAAAGCTCTAAGTGTTGATGTCTAAATTATTTTCAAACTCTTCTGTAACTCTGCCAATGATTCCTCACATTCTCCCCCCTTCTGTTTTAAGGTGACCAAGAGATGCCCAATAGACATCAGGTCTGGAGACGGACTCAAGCGGTCCGGCACACATTCTGGGGGGGGTCTTCGTGTCCTTCCTCCAGCCTCAGTTAAAAAACTTCTTCTTGTACAGTAGAACCTGTGAACCAGAAAAAACCTAAAGCAGAGATGAAAAGGTTTATTTGTATTCTTATAGTCAGGATCAGGAGGAATCACTGAGATAAGGATTATCTGGGCTTCGATTTGATCAAGGTCAAAGCCTGCCCATCACAGAAATTTTATTGATACTCATTCGAAAAATACTAAACTGTTTTGAAATAATACACAAAAACATGGATCTGGAGATTAGCTCTGAAGGTTAATTGGTCACTAATACGTTGTAACTGAAGTCCAAGAATGTATAAGGAAATCTTGGAACGGCGTGGGAAAGATTTATTTCATATTTGATTTAATAGGCAGCTTACTGAAACATTTTTTTAAACTTTTATTCTGTTATTCAAAAACTCAAAGTGTTCATTTCTGTCCATCTTCTTCCATTTCTCCATCAGGGTCATGGTGGGATCAGGGAGTTAAAGGCAGGGTTCACCCCCTACAGGTCGCCAGTCACAGCAATTGAGAGATGCCAGTTAACCTAACAGTCATCGCACTAGGAGGAAGCAAACATCCATGCAGAAAACACATAGGCAGTGAATTGAACTCAGGACCAACAAACTGTGCCACTCTGCAAACAGACTTTAATTTATACCTTTCTGTTCACCAAAATGTCAACAAAAAGTATAAATGTTTTAACCAACGGTCAACTCAATTAACCAACGCTCCCCAGGATCCTGAGCTGCTTTCAAAGTGGGAGAAGCAGGTCAAACGATCGGGAGAAGTTGGAGGACCCTACTGCATCTCTTCTATGATTTTGAGAAGGATGTTTTTTTTTTGTGTCCTCATTGAAATAGTTGCTTGGTTGTTGAGCAGCTGCCAATGGCCATACCCACCCAGGGTGAGAGAGAACATTAGCCAATGTTCGAACCAAGCACAGACGGATTGTTTTTAAGAACCTCCTAACGTTTCCCCGCAGCCCTTCCACTTCCAGCTCCACATTCAAAGAACCACAGGCTGCAGTGTGGCCACCTCGTTAGATCGGAGATTGCTGCTGTTCCAGATAATGACCCAAAGCTAACAGTCATTAGCTTCAGTAGCACATGGCTTCCCGCACCGTGACATCACTGCCTGAACATGTCAGGAGTAAGGTGTTACTATATTCAGGCAAAAATGGCCGCTCCCATACTTAAGGGCTGGTTATCCTCCCACAGTCACAGTGAGCTTGTCGCAGATATTTTTGATTTATGCCAGATATTGAAGTGTGGTCTGCGTTATGTTATTCCACGGCACAACGCAAGAGGGACAATCAGGAACTAGCTGTGGGTCTAGAGGCGGTGAGGAAGTGGGGGCAAGTTTGTGCGACAACGGAGGGACATGAGGACTATAAAGAGCGGGGATCCAGGTGGAAAAAGGGTCCCACCTCCCTCTTTTAGCATCTTCACAAGTCGTTTTCCACAATGGCGGTCATACAAATAAAACAAGCTGGTAAGGTAACCAACAGGAAATACGCATAGAGTAGAGTGGATGTAGATTTGACCAATCAGAGGCCTCCTGTCTGCGATCACCTACAATTTTGGAGAGGTGCACTAGAGTTTAAAAAGAAGGGGGCGGGGCATATCTGCGTTCACTGCGACACACGCAGACGACCTGGTTTTATTTCTTTACTGATTAACGCTAAATGTATTAAATCAGGAGTGTATTAGTTTTAGTTATAGATAGTGATCCATTGATTATTCCTTGCTTTTCCTTTAACAGGGGCTAATGGGGATGCTAACAAAACAAACTCGGCCAACTTCTTGTAAAACAATTAATTTCATCCATCATTATCTGCCTCTCCAGTGCAGCCGCTCTATTACTAGCATGACCACATGATTTATACTATAAGCTGTTTGTTTTGCAAAGGGAGTTGAAATGATGCAGAACGCTTTATCTGCTGACACACTCACTCAGTGATAACGGTTCTCCTCAAAATACTTCAAACTATATTTGATTAAAATCAACAAACAGAAGAAACTTGTTTTTTCAGGTTGAGAGGAATCAATAGAAAACATGAAAACAGTGAATGGTGACAATACAGCCATGAATAAAAGTCAAAGAAATGTTCAGTCTGTTCCTTTTATTGTCTCAGTTTAAAATATACATGCTGTTATAACTTTAAAATATCTGAAGACAGCGAATAAAGTCAGTTTTTTTGATTCGGTGGACAAAACAAAACACCCCAGATCTCTTTTATCTTTTTACAAAAGGAGACGTTTGTTTTTTCAGAGCCGTCCTCCTGGATTAGAGTTACTTTCCTCCACATCTGCTGAGAGTTAGAGAATACAGACAGACAGAGAGAGAGAGACGGAGAAAACAACCTGCACATCTGAACAGTGTCCCATATGTACACCTAAACAAGCTGTGAAGCAGGTGACGCTGTTGCCATGGAAGCAGCAAAACGCCACTGAGGGGATTTCTCCTACTGGAAGTCCTCGGCAGCAGCGGCGGCGGCGGCGGGTTTGGGCCCCGGAAGCAGCGGCACGGGGGAGGTGGCTTCGATCAAGGCGGGGTTCAGGATGATGGGGAGAGGCATGGGGGGGACGCCCACCTGCAGGGGAGACGCCAGCGGCTGCAGGATGAGAGGGGACTGAGTTGGAGGGGAGGGAGAGCGAGCAGGAGAGGTTCCTGGCGATGGCGTCACCGGAGACGAGCTATCGGAGCCTGAAAGGAAAAAAGAATTCTCTATTTTAAACGCTGCTGGTTTTTACTAGTCGTTCTCTAAACGCAGTGAGGATCCTAAGAGACGAAGAGTTCGTACCGCTGGCAGCTGCCGCCGCCACAGGCTCCTGGCTGGAATCTGGGTTAACCGACGCCGGCGTCTCTGTGGATGTCGTCGCCATCAGGATGGACGGGGAGGGCTGGGAAAGAGGCGGGGCCAACTGAGGGGGGGCGGCTGCTTCCGCTGCTGGTGTAGACTGCGCCGGCTCGGCCTGAGGAGCAGGAGCCGCATCTGCAACAACAGACAGGAACCAGAAGCAGCGGCTCCTTCAAATTAAGAGCTGAGGAACAAGAGAAGCTGCATCTGGATTCCAGATGTTTCCATTCATTCAACTAAACTCCACCGAGCCAATTGAGCCATTTTCTAAATAACCGTTTTAAAATGATCTTTCCAGAAAATAAAGGGAGAATTTTTCTTTTTTTTTTACAGTTAGAAAATAATTATATTTCACCAGCAGGAATCATTCTGTGTTACTGGATTAAACAGATCTGTGACCTTCAATGAACAGAGACGTAGATCTATCATTAACAGACAGGCTATTCTCTATCAGCAGCTCAGATCTACAGCTGCAGATCCTTGAATCCATTAATCAGTGGAAATAATCTGAAGCGGCTCTGGATTAACTGAGATCTCTGCTCTATATGGCTCCTCTCTGGATTACTGCTGCTGAATTTATTCAGACTTTACAACAGCGCCCTCTGGTGAAAGGAAGAGGAAGAAATTGATTTCATTTGATTATCAAATAGATGGAAGAAATCTTTATTTAATGGACTGTTAATTGATTATTTGTTACAATCCCTAATTTGGATAGTATTGAGATGATTCAAAAATGTTTAAAAGTACTAATAAATGATGTTTTAGAGAGAAATCCATCAGTGCAGATGGTTAAAGGCTCATGAAGTTTTTAACTAAATAAATGACATTTTTCTACAACTACAGATGTTAGCGGGTTCATTTTATGAATAACCGTACGGATCATTAAGAGTTTAATCGTATAATAAAATGCCAAATATTTCCTGCTGAGCTTCATCTCAAACAGAATCTAAAGAGAAATCCTGAAATGTTGTTTTCTCACCTGGAATAACGGTCTGCTTGAAGAGCTCCTCTCTGAGGTTGGGGAGGAAACACACGATGCGTTCCCACGTTATTTCCCACAGGTCCGAATATCCGGTCCGAGAGTCGGAGCTGCGGAAAATCCCTGCAGTGTCCATCACCAGCAACATGTTCTTCAGAGACTCAGGAATGGCCTCCAGCTTAACGGAGACATGATAAGAAAGGAAAGTAATCAGTACTTTAGGAGCCAGTCACAGTTTGCTGATTTAGCCAGCGTAAGCCAGACGTCCCAGAACCGCATGAAAACGCTGCCATACGCTAAAATTTCTATGTATTTTTTCTTTTTTGGGTGTATACATAGAGCAGGGAGAACCTATTAAATATCAGCGGCGTCCAAATAAAGAAAATCATCAACCAGTAAAGGTCCGGAGACAATTTTAATTATAATCTGTTACTTTAAACAGAATTTAACACTGAAATAAAAATAAAATGAGTTTTTTTTTTCATTTTAAAATCTAAAGTGTTTTTTTTAAGTAGAGAACAACAATCGTTCAGTTTGGTATAAAGACAATATCCTGATTTAAATAATTTATAAAACACCTGAACTGAACGTTTGTTATTTTCTTCCTTTTTTCTGTCTTAATGTTGGCAGTGGGCTTTATGCTGCCCTGCAAGGCTTTAAACCTGGTTTGAATGGAGACTAAGCCGTTCTAAAGCACATATCAAGGAGCTCATTCTGAGCCTGGATCCATATTTATTGTTGATTCTGTTCATGGTGGAGAATCCTGCTTCACAGCAGCAGGTTGAGCCAAACATCCTCTAAATGTTCAGGGTCATCTTTGAGCACCATTTCACTTTTCTTTCACCAGTTCACCACAGTTCTTCCAGCAGTCCACACTTTCTCTGCTCTCTTTTTCTCATCATCTTCTCCTTCTTTCCCATCGCCCGGCTCGCCACAGGTTTGCCTGCTGTGTCTAAAAGTAGCAGCAGCAGCAACCCAGACTGACAGCAGCTCATTGGATCATTTATATCACATGTAGCCTGGAGCCGGACACTCTGGAGGGCTTTACCGTATTAACAGGAGAAGCAGCACAAGTGAAATTAGACAATGTGGTCGGACAATATGCAGTAATTTATAAATGTTTTAAATCAGGTTGAGTCCGGATTAGCCAGCAGTGGATCCGGATCCTGACTGTGGTGTGTTAATCCATGACGTCTGACCTAGAGTATTCATAACGAGTCCAGAACTTATGTCCAACGACAGCCTAACTTATGAATAATGCTACCGGGATGATGTGAAGCATCAGGTAAAGCTGCTCTCCTCAGGAGCATCGCTGCTCCTGAGGAGAGCAGCGATGCACCTAGAGGCACCCGGTCTGCATAAAAACATTTCTTTGATCACGGTCTTAACCTAGCTGCTGTTTACAGCCCACCCAAAAAAAAGAAGGAAAAGAAAGAAGGTTTTTGGTGGCAGCAGATTCAGCATCATGTCTGCAAGGAGGTTTCTTTTGTTCGTGGTCGTGAACGCAGGGAGGATCCATCACCTTCTGGCTCACCCTATGATGGGGATGAAGTCTGGAGGAGAACTGACGGTTTCCTCCTGTGAACCCCCTTTATACCAAAACGCTGCCAATACGCCATTATACAGTAGCTGGAAGCTAGAAACACGTTCAGCGCTCGTCTGGAACACGTCAGATACGTTGATATGCATTGGAGAGAATTTCTTGATAAGTTACACAGAAGTTATGCAAAAGTTACTCAGAGGTTTTGGATAGGCTAGACGCCGCACTCAAAATTCCTCGACGTACTCACCGTATGTCGATGTGTTTCAGCTCATAACTTATACAAAACGTACCCATAACTTATCCAACGTATGCCAGCGTTTTTGCCAGATTTTTCGTACGTCAGGCATACGCTGGTCTAAATCACCAAGGTGTGACAGGGGCTTTAACTCTGGAATAGCGGGTGAGACAAACAGAGCAGAAGAAGAAGAGTGTTTGGGAGCTGTTCTCCTCACCAGTAAGTCGCTGGATCCTGCATGCATGTACTTGTCCATGAAGTCCAGAATGGTCAGCCAGAGGGCAGCGAAGGTGGGCAGTGAGAGCAGAGGAGAGAGATGCTGCAGGAAGACCTGGAAGAGCCCAACACACCGGAGGTTAGCAAACAAGCTACACAGGATCAGATTCAGCTAAAGAGGATCTTCCTTCAAAAACATGGCATCGGGAAGCAGCGACAACGGCTACAGCCAGCAAGAATCCCTCTGACGAACATCAGGGAGACGTGAAGAACTGAACCATAGAGTCACAGGGAGATCAATAAAAAAAGAGCCTCGTTTAAAGGAAAAGTCCGCTCATATTAAGAATGCAAACTTCTAAAAGTACTTTAAATATGAAAGTATTACATCCTGTTCAATAAATAAGTGTTTTTAATTAAGAATACTTTTCGTTTGAATGTGCTTCATTGGAGGCATCCGTGTTGGTCAAAGAAGACTACTGCCACCTACTGGTTTGTGACGTCACAGTGCGGTAATGGCCGTTGATGTTGGCAACATATTACGTGTTTTTTCTCTGTCAGAAGTTTGATGGCAAATCCAACGACGAACCCGTCCGTGGAGGATCAGGAATCAGAAAGGTGAAATAACTCTTTTATTTTTTCACTTTTCCCCGATGTATTCCAACATCCAGCTGCCATGCACGTGGGCATTGTCAGTTTCACTATAGCTCTGGTGAATTTCAATGGTGAAGTCCTCTGGAAATCTTCAATAATTGTTGTTGGGCACTCCCAGAATCTGCGATCATGACGAAAATTATAGTTTTTATTTTTTTACTGATTAACGCTAAATTTATTAAATCACAGCGAACGTATTATTTTAGGTATAAATAATGATCAATTGATTATTCCTTGCTGACTGGACTTTTCCTTTAAAAAACAGGAGTAGTAAGAAATTGGGGAATTTAAACACATA